TATTGATAATCAAAGTTGCACTGTGTTGATTTGTGTTGTATATTATGTTGTTCAGTTGTGTTGTTCAAGATGAAATGATGATGTGATGTTTCTATGATGTATTTATGTTATTTCCTTTTTATTCTAGTTTATCCTTGCATGTTTCCATGTGTTGTGGACAATGATGATCATAGTGGTATGGGAGTAGGGTAGGGATAAGATTGGAGAGTAGCTGTGGAGGCCACCTAGTGGCGTTCAAGTTGGAGGGCATTTTGATGACTACCTATTGGTGGTTGATGAAAACTTGCTTTGGAACCAGATTGATGTTGATTCCTCTTCAAGTTCTCCCTAGACCTTTGGCTCCTTGGTTCTCCTCAAGCTTCTCCAAAGCTTCCAATGGATGAAGAAGCTTCGGATTTCACCTTCAATGGTGAAGAACACTCTCAAGTGGTGCCACTCCTTGGAGGAAGATTAGACACTTCAAATCTCACCACACTCTTGTATGAAGATGGTAAGAGAAATGGATTAAAATCAAAGAGGTTAAGACTTTTGGAAGAGAGAAAATCTGAACAATTTTTCAAAATTCTCTCAATATATGCTTCAAAAGTGTTTACAAAGTGAAGGAAAAAACTTATATAGTGAGGGAGAAGCTTGTGGTGCAAGCTAGACTAACTATGGTTGAAGGAGAACCATGGTTAGCCTTCTTACACTCAATCTAACCGGTCTAGTTACTTGGAAGCTTGTGGAACAAGCTTCTAACTTAGAAGCTTGGGAAGCAGGCTAAGCTAGAAGCTTGTAGCATAAGTCATCCAAGTGTGTGGGAGAAGCTAAGGTAATTTCGGCCAAGGAAGGTGAGCTAGGCGGCCAAGCTTGTTTTCCTTCACTTAATCCAATCCAAAAATGTTGGAATTGGTTTGGTTAGGTTCACCTAATGAGGGTGAGACCTAGCTAAATCAATTCCTTGGATTAAATGGAACAAAACAAGCCCAATATGTAAAAATTTGCCTAGGCCCACCAAAGGCCCAATTACTAGCTACACCTACACACTCTACTATTTGTCATCCCACTTCTACTACTAAAAAAATGAAAATCAATGACCCTTAATACAAGGTCAAATGGAGAAAAAATCTCCATGTAACATACCCTAAAATCCTATAAGAAAAGAAAGAAAGTGCCTCACAAATACAATGGCAATTACCTATACAAGTATCTACTATATACAAGGTACAAGAATTCAAACTATACAAGGTATGTATAATAGAGACTATGAGACTAAAAAGAGGAATCATACTCAATGCTCATATTGAGCATAGGTCAAAGAAGCACCTCCTCTATAGAAGCCTCCTCTAGCCTCCTAACCATGGACCTAATTAAAGGCCCAATGGTCTTTGAGTGTGAGCTATCCTATGGGTCAACCTTCATCCTTCTTGGTCTTACCTCTTTCAAAGGGATCCTTGGGGATTAGATTTCCATCAGTGGTAGTCTTGTATAGACAATGTAGTTGCTTAATTGATAACTTAGTATGTATAATTTACATTACTGGATTAATATATTTATATTGCATCTATTTATTTAGTTGTTTTTCCTTATATACTTGCAATATAATACAAGTTCTGGTATTTATATATCCATAGCCTTAAGTTAGGTGTTTTCTACTGCTAATTGCTATGTTGTATCATGTAGGGATCAAGTTGAGTCGTTACAATTTACATCAATTTTTTATGATTCAACCGTTAAATTAAAAGTTCTTAATGTATAAATTAAGTCATTTTTTTTAATTTTAAAACTATTTTGTACTTCGTTTCATTAATTCAAATTAATGTATAAAATATTTTTATGATTATCCGTTAATTTGAATTAATGAAACTAAATATCAAACAGTTTTCAAATTTTTAAAAAAATTTGCAGAATTGATCTATGAAGAATTTTTTTTAATTCATCGATTGAATCATTAAAACTTGATATAAAATATAAATTAATTTTATTTTTTATTGTTTTTATTTTTTATTAGTTAGATTAGTTAAAAGTTAAAATATTTTTTTTAAAAATAAATATATTGTTTTCTATTTCTATTCTTAAAAGAAATAAACTTAAATATATTTTAAGTTCCAACAAATATCATTTTGTCTTGTTTTATTCCTTATAAAATAAATTATCATTTTTAGGTCCTTGACATTTTTTATTGTTCTTTTTTAGTTCTTATTATTAATAACTCTAGTTAGTTTAGTATTAAAATGATTAATAAAATAAATAATATTAATTCAGATAAAATGAAAGTAATTAAATTATAATATGAAATTAAATTATGATTATATTGATTTTAGTCGTATTAATAGATGTGAAAACTTGTACAAAATAATTATGATGTATATTTATACTTTTGAAAGTGATATGTAATATATTTAATATTTCAAATTTATGTATAAGTCCCACAACTTAAAATTTTGAGACTTGTCACTGTTTATATGTTTGTGTGTGTCACTTTTAGGTATGACTCCTTTTGAGGCCTTATATGATAAGAGATGTCAAACTTTTTTGTGTTGGTACAAGGAAGGTGAGAGTTTGCTAGTGAGACTAGAGTTGGTATTGCAAAGAATTGAGAAAGTGAAACAAATTTAAGAAAAGATTAAGAATGCCTAGGGTAGACATAAATTATATGTTGATAAGAGGAGGAAGCCCTTAGAGTTTGATGAGGAAGATCATGTTTTCATGAAGGTGACACCTACGGTTGGGGTGGGGAGGGCAATAAAGTTTAAGAAACAATCTCCTTAGTTTATTAGACCTTATCAAATCCTTTAGTGTGTTGATCTAGTGGCATATAGGGTCACTTTACCACCTTTTTTGTCCAACCTACATGATCTGTTTCACATTATCAAGTTGAGGAAGTACATGTTTGATTCAACCATGTGGTGGAATCAGATGTTGTGCAAGTCAAAGAGACTTTGACCTTTGAGAAGAAGCTTGTAAGGATGGTATATCATAAAGTAAAAGAACTACAAGGAAAGTCCATTAGTTTGGTCAAGGTGGCGTGGAATGACATCATGGGTGAGGCCACATGGGAGCTAGAGGAAAATATGAGACATTAGTATCCAGACCTTTTCCCAGGTAACTAAATTTTTTTGGATGAAAATTTCTATTGTTGAGAGAGTTGTAACACCATGATTTTCTTAATTATTTATATTTATATGTATATAATTAATATTAATGTTTTTATATCATTTTAAGTTGTTTGAGTTGTTATATGTTATTTTTCCTGTATTACGGGCGAGGATTAGAGTTGAAATGATCCTAACCTTAAGTTATAGGTGATATAACTTAAGTTTCTAAGAGTGGGACTAAGGAAGGTTGAGGTATATAAAGCAAATTTTGAGAAGTGAACTATATAAATTCATAACTCAAGATTTCTAGAAAAAAAATTAAAAACAACCACTTTTATGCTTATTCAATCTATATAAACTACAATCAAGCTTGCCTTGCCTTAATCAAGCCCTATGAGTAGAAGAAATTAAGGTAGAAGAAGACTTTCTCTACTACTCTCACCAAAACTTCCTCAACTTTGATTCTTAAGAATCTAAGCTCCACAATCTTCCTTAGGCTTTAAGATCAACAAATGTCTAGCTTTAGGGAAGATCTTAAAGCCTAATGAAGATTGTGGAGCTTAGATTCTTAAGAATCAAAGTTGAGGTGGTGAGAGTTGTAGAGGAAATCTTCTTCTACCTTAATTTCTTCTACTTATAGGACTTGATTAAGGCAAGAAAAGCTTGATTGTAGTTTGTATAAATTGTATAAACATAAAAGTGGTTGTTTTTAGTTGAACTGAGGAATGTTGTAAATTAAGGAGTTGCATGTTCATAATATGTTACACGTAGTTATGTTTATGTTAGAGTTAAACTAATATAAGACGTGTCAATTTATAATAATATTGTACAATATATATATGTCTCACACCGCTCAATTCTAACATAAACATAACTATAACTATGTAACAAAAAAAATGATATGCTGCCTATTTTTCTTATTTGGATAGATCAATTTGTACACTTATTAACTATAAATCGATAATCTTACAGGATGTTTATAAGCCTTTTATGTTTAAAGACACAATTTTCATTTTGTAATTTGTTAACAATGATTAGAGAATACTTGCTCGAGTTATTGAAGGTTGAGGGCAAGACATTATGTTCTATGTGATTTTGCTCTCTACATTATGATCAAGAACATATATGAAATTTAAAGTAATACTTAGAGACTTATCAACAATTTGTAAATTTTATTGATATTACATATACTACCGGTTAAAGGTAGTTAATCTACACCTTTTATTGTTATATCTAAGTTGTGAATTGTTATATCTAAGTTGTGAATGATGATCCCACTTAATTGCTCTTCCACATGAGAATTTACCTTGTTTTATTTACTAAATTTAAATTTAATTTTATGAATGAATTATCGGTTTCTTTATCTTTTCAATACTATATAATAAATTGAAATAAAAGTTCTATAAATTATTAATACCATATCCATTTAACATTTTAATATCTATTAATGGGTATTTACATCCTCCAATGCACTGATATAAAATCTAATATTGCATAAATGCAACACAAAATGTTGCTTCTGTTTCTCCAATTTTTGATTGGATTGTCAACCTAAATGAGAAGAATATGTAGAGAGAGAAACTTAATTAATTAATTAATTATTTTATTATTTTTATTGAAAAGTTTCCGGTCATTTCGTCGGATCGATTATTTCTCCTTGCTTTTCTCACTATATGCCATTTGAACCCCTTCAAATTAGGTTCCTTTTCGAGTTCCATTTTTAAATTAAAAATAAAACATTCTACTTTTTCTCTTTTTTGATAAAATTTTGCTTTTTATCATTTTTTCGGGAGGTAAAGTGCTCATACTTTTGATAAAAAAAAAAAAAAACGGTGTTTCGTAGTTTTTTATATTTTTATTTATAAAAATAAAAATAAGCCTCTCTTGTTTCACTACTAGTGTAAATAAGCTCAATGTACTGATCAAACTCTTTTCTCTCTATCTTTTCTCTTCCAACTCAATCTTTTTTCCTTTACATGTGGATCTGTACTTGGTTCTTTTCCTTAGGTTTTTTTTTTTTTTTTTTTTTTTTTCAATCAAATATATGTAATTTCATGTCACTTCTGAAATATCTTTCTGGGTTTTTCTTTTCTTCTCTTGTTTTTTCTTTTCTGGGGTGGTAATTTTCGTTTCTGAGATTCTTGGTTGTGGGTTTTCTCTCAAATGTGTAAAGTTTTCTTCTTTCTTTGTTTTGGGGGGGTAATGAAGCGTGTTGAGTGTTGAATTCAGGTTGGGATTATGTGTCTGGAGTAGATGTGGTGTGATTGCAGATCCTGTTGTTATGTTTCGAGCTTGTTGATCTTTTAATTCAGCCGAAAAAACAGAAAACGGGGCTACTTTGAAGGGTTATTGAATTTCTATATTCCATTTCCATTGTTTTTCTTTACCTCAATTTCTTAGTTTCAAAGATCGATGTTAATGAATTTTGGCTCGGTATCGTTTGGCTTGGAAACCTTTTCGTTCAGGTGGATCTCTATGTATATATGTAGTAAAAATCATGTTGTTTTTATGTTATGTTCAAATTTATTTATCTTTTTGATTTTTGTTTGACCGGTAAAATCTTTGTTTCTCATACATGGCTGATATATGTTAAACTATCACAATAAGAGACATGGAACAGAGTGTTTCATCTTTGTCTTGCAAAATCTTTTACCAGTGAGGATTTAGTATTTACTTAAATGATATAATGGCTACTTCTGTTTGCTATAATTGTTCCACGTACTCAGATGTTTATGGTATGTAAGATTAATTATTCATCTATGCTTGCTTTAGGCACTAATGATTTTCATTTAAGGACAGATTTTGTCTCCAAGAGATAACAATTTACATAAAGATTCTGGTGTTCTGACTACTTTTGGTGCTGTGAATTTTTATATACCTTTGATTTTTGGTATAAGTTTATTTGTTGGGTGAAAGTTTAATTGTTTGTGAGATTAATTGTGGTCGTGGTTACATTTATTGTTTTTCTCCCTTGTCTAATTCCTTAAAGTAATAGGCATTGTGGAAGTAATGGATTAGTATGATTTTGTTTCTTGAATTGGTTGATCAGTATGTAAGTTTGGATTTTGGATTTTCACAAGGTTTTATATTAAGTAAAATTATATTATATGCATAAATAAAAACGTGAAATCTGAATATCATACTGCTAAGCATTATTTTTAGGTTTAGTGATGCTAGGTTGTAGCTTTTCTCGCTCTCCACTAAAATCTTTAAGTGCCTCTCTACTTTTGCAGGCATATTAAGAGCCATGAGTAGCATGACAAGTGGGGGTGATACTCGGAAAATATCCAAAGGTCGCCAGTCATCATCATTAGTTGAAGAAGATGGTGATGGAGAAAACGTGGGAGAAGGTCCTCTAAAGAAAGGCCCATGGACTTCAGCAGAGGATGCAATTTTGATAGAATATGTCAAAAAGCACGGACAAGGCAATTGGAATGCAGTCCAAAAGTATTCAGGACTTGCTCGTTGTGGGAAAAGCTGCCGTCTACGGTGGGCAAACCATTTAAGACCAGATCTGAAAAAAGGAGCATTTACTGCAGAGGAAGAGAGCCGAATCATTGAGCTCCATTCTAAGATGGGAAACAAATGGGCTCGAATGGCTGCAGAGGTTTGTAGAATTGTTATGTCTTTTAATGTTTTGTCATTGTATATTATGCTAATGATTAGCTAAGTTATATAAGAAACATATCCACATAGTCATTTGTGTTTGATATCTTTGATTTATGACATGGAGAAGACTCAACCACTAAAGATGAATTTCTGGTATGGACAATGCTATATATAATAGAATATAATACTATTTTTGTCAATATAAACATATCTATAAATATGGGAGGCTCATGACTCATGGCAGGTATATATTATTCTCTGGATTTTGGATGTGATTGGTATAGGTCTAATCTTTATTGCTATCCGTTACAGCCCAAGTTACTGTAATTGTATTATTGAAGATACTGTAAGGATTCAAGTTTATGGGCTGTAAGTAGAGCAAAAAAAATTGAATCAAATAAATCTTCTGATTGTATATAAATTTAATCATTAATACATAATTTCAATTCTCAAAAAGTATAGGAGTATTACTCATTATTGTTTAAGCTACATCAACTAAATTCTGCATATACTATATTGTCACAGTTGAACTTAATTTTTGAAGTGGCCTTAATTAAAATAATTTTTCCAAATATGTGTTGTTAATAGTTGAACTTTATGCACTTAAGTTCTATGTCTATCAGTGGGATCATTATGCAATTATAGCAATATACTTAATTCATTGGAAAACTATGAATGAAGTATATATTACACAGCGTAAAGTATAAACAAATTAATTTGAATTAATCTTTAACTATGTATAGATACTTTGAACTGATTTTTTTTCTTTATATATTATGAAATGTAAACAGTATGTGTCTGTGCTGCATGCTGCTAGATGATCCATAGTTTCTGACATGAATTTGCTTATGTCTTTTAATTGCTTTGGTGATTATTTTTCCAAATCAAATTTGTTTCTTTTCTTGTGAAGGCATAATCTCTGTAAATGTTGAAAACTTTGGCAGGATAGCATTAAAACCTGATGCCTGTGTCAATATTTGCAAAATGCGTTAAGTTTTAATGGAGAAATGTGGAGGAGAAGAATAGATTTAAGGGAAATATGTAGTCCTTTAACTGGATATGCAATAAAAACTATTTGCAAATGTTGTGTGTTGTGGATAGGTACTATGGCCTTATTACCATCATGTATATGATAGTGTAGCGCAAATGCAGAAAGAGGCTATGCAATATTTTAACCCTATAGGAAAACCATATTTATCCGTCCAAGTATAGAAGTACTAGAAAATTTTGTTTACTGAAGTCTGAAGCTCAGACCTCATAATTGCTGGTAACAGACAACCATGACCAAAGCCAGTGTGAAAATCTTTTGGGGGCACAGCCTAAGCAGGCTTGCTGCATTCTAAGGTGAGCTTGCACAGAGTATAAGAGGGTGGAGGGAGAAAGGAAGGGAAAGGATAGACAGAGAATTCACTATTAAGTAACAAAGCACTAACTACATAATGACTATATTGTCCTTCTCTACAACATTCTTTCTTAATTTTGCCTACTAAGTATTACTTTTGTGTTTTGTGTTATCGAGGCCAATATATTTCTGCATTTTCTTTTTGAGGTATATGCTTTTGTGTTCATTCCTTTTGTCTGTTTCAGTTGCCTGGACGAACCGATAATGAGATCAAGAACTACTGGAACACAAGAATCAAAAGAATGCAACGAGCTGGCTTACCAATCTACCCTGATGAAGTGTACCAACGGATACACAATGCCAATCAAGAAAGTCAAAATGTTGGCACCTTGACAAATGAAGCGTCCCAGCATGATGATCTCTCGCAAACTGACAATTTTGATATACAAGATGGGGAATTCAAAAATTTCAAATTCTGTCCTGGTCTATCACATGGACCATCAATTTTTGATATGCCTCAAAGCAGCTTGTTTGAACAAAGTTCGGACACATCCCATACTTATAACATCTTGTTCCCAACTATGCATCCCTCGAAACGCCGCCGGGAGTCAGAAATTTTATACAATAGTTTTGACAGCTGTACAAGTAATGCTGTCCCAGTACTTGACCCTTATGGCAATTATAATTGTGAGAGATTTTCTGACCATAATAGGTTGTGTCTTCCATGTGATCCTTTTCTTAACACCAGTGATCAGTTTCATGGTGATAACCTTACTGGCAGCCATGCCGCATTAAATGGCAATGCCTCTTCTTCTGGGCCCATATTTGGGTCCATGAAGTTGGAGCTCCCTTCACTCCAATATCCTGAAACTCAACATGGTAGCTGGGGGATGTATACACCTACGTCCCCGCTTCCTTCACTTGAGTCTGTTGATACACTAATTCAGTCTCCTCTAGTTGAGCCTATTCTGTCAGATCCTGTTTCTCCACAAAGCTGTGGTTTGCTAGAAGCAATAGTCTACAACTCAAATACCTTGAAAGGCTCACGGAATGATTCGTTATTGCCAGAGACAACTGATACGCCCTACCAAGCAATCAACAATTCAATCTTGAATCTTCCCTTTAAGACAGAATGGGATGAACAAGAGGAGCCAAATTCCTCCTTAGGCCAATCTGCTGCTTCCGTTCTGACTGACTATACTCCAGTAAGCATAAGCTCAGTGGATGGCCCTCAATCAGTCGAAACCACCCAGGGTAACACTCTAACATATAATTCATATCATTTAGTTTTACGGGTCTGTTTGGGTAAGCTTCTACATAAGTACTTCTATGAGAGAAAAATATGAAGGAAAAATGAAAATAGTTTTTTCACAAGTTAAAATTATCTTATGCACAACGTTAATTTGTAGAAGCTCTCTCTTATTAGTTTTTTCAAAATCTTATTTTTAACTTATGCACAAGTTAGTTTTAACTTATGGGCAAACTTATTTTAACTTTCTTTATTTTCTCTCTTATAACTTATAAGTATTTCTAAAGAAGCTTATCCAAACAGGTCCTAAATATGGAATGTTTCCATATTTAAGTGGCTTCATTTAATGATGCTTTTTCACCCTTGTTTGACAGATCATGATGATAAGCATGGAGCACTCAACCAGTTCCCAGATAGTTCTGGGAAGAAAGAAAATTTGAATCAGATAGAGTTTACGCGGCCCGATGCTTTACTTGACTTAGGTTGGTTTGGAAATAACACCGAGTATGGTAGTGATCAATCTGTTCTAAAAGATGCTTTAAGTGCACTTCTTGGTGAAGATTTCCAGGGTGAGCAGTAGCTAGTGGGTGGATATGGATATATTGCTTTGGCCTTAGTGTAGTGCTTGTTCATGACATAACTTCATTTTACTTTTTGTCAACTTTCTTAACAGTATTAGGTCATTTTTTTTTTTAATTTCTCAGCAACTTTTAGAAGCTTCAGTTGTGATGTTCAGAGATTTTATAGCACATATTTCATTTTTATCAATGTTTTGAAGGTGGTGTGGTATGAATTCTATCTGGTGTTACTTTACATGGTGTTAATATTGGATGAATGGTATCTGAAAATGTTATTAGCTCATCTGAAAATAGCATTGAACTCATCTTTGTTCAATTGTTCTCCCTGAAAAAGGATTTGTTTAAGCATAAAAGTTACGCACATTATGTGTTTTATGCTATGTTTATTAACTTTTGAATTGAACAAAAGTACGAAATTTAATTCTTTATTTAATATAGCCGGGAGTTTGCTGAAGAACAATTGAAAACATAACTTGGTTTCAACACTAATTAATTTCCAACGTGCTTTTCCTAAGTTGTAATTACGGCCAGTTTCATCAGTTAGAAATCCAGGTAAAGAAATGAGTTTTGTGTAAATGAATCATAGTTACAATGGCATTAATTTTTGAAGTTGACTTTTTTTTTTTTTTTTTTTTTTTGTGCATCCAATCTATTAATATATTTCCCTGTCTAAGCTTATTAATCTAAAGAGGGACAAATTATCGGATGAATTCTTTGTCATCGGAAACATTATGCATATAACCCGATGGCACTGTTTTACTTTTCTGTGCAAAACAAGCTCAGTCCCTGATTTTCAATGTTTCCAATATTTTGTATCATAGTTTTAATTAAAAATTAAATTTAATCAGATAGTTTTAGTACAAAAAATATTACTTAATTCTCTCATATTTCATAAAAAAATAAGAGACTCTTCTTATTTGATATGTTCTTCTCACACACACATTTATGTGTGTGTTCTTTATATGCGTGTGAGGGATCAAATTATATATTTTTATCGATTATTATTTTATCAATAATTTTTATATAAAATGTAAATTTGGTTAATCTAATTATTGAATTATAAATTTATATAATATCTTGAATGTTTATGTTAAATTATAACTTTATATATATTATGCTTATTTTGACTTATATAAATGAGGTACAAAATAATTCTAGATTTTTTTTTGTATATATAACCTAATGAGATTTTAAGAAAACATCATTTAATTGAATAATATAATAGTTAAAAAAGATTATATTGATGTAATCTGATCATTATATATATAACATTATTAAAAGAAGTATCACAATTTTATGTCCACTTTCTGAAAGACATTTATACTTTTATATTTCTAACTTTTTTCATACCGATATTTTCTTAAGGATTTAAGAATAAAATAAGAAAAAAATGTATATACAAAAAAATAATGGAAAATTGCAATACTATTAATGTCTCATATTTATTTATTAAGTACATATAATTTTTTTTATATAAGATAATACTATTTGTGCATTAAATTACTAATACAAGTGCTAACAAGTAACAAGATTTAATTTCTTACTCAACTTTAACTCTTAAATTATAATTTAAATATCATGCATGTCGCGATTTAAAAAATATATAATTTTTAAAGAATGATTTTAAAAGAAATGAACTGAAAAATTATTATTTTTAAAATTTGGTGGAATCTGTTTTATAGGTTCTTTATATTTAGACTAGCACGACACACGTTTCAATTTAGGTATATTTCTTTTTGAGACGTTGATGTAAAGCGAGATCGAGCAGAAAGATTTAAACGTTACTTGTTTCTAAATATTCATCAATGACCAACAAGTAATTAAATTCATGAAAGTAAAGCCTTAAATGAACATAATGAACGATGGATACATTTGCAATACAGATCATGGTTCATTTGCATAATTAACAGGAATTACAATGCTGAAGTAATATAACTACGTGGGTTTAAAAGAGATAAACTAAGAAAACTACGCTAATTCTACTCCTAAAAAGAAAAGAAAAGTGGTCAAGAAATTGGTACCCAGCAGATGCGTGCACGGAAGCCATATGCGCAGCCAGAGAGTGCTTACAGAAATGTGAGTATGAAATTTCCGACCCCTTGAAAGTACATATTTCTTTGTGTTTATAGAGACAAATGAAGGTGGTTAATTTTAGTGCATGTGCGTCATGGAAAGGTAACCGCCATCCACTATGCCCAATAGGTGGTTTTAGAATGTAACCTCTCGTAACCGCTCGTTCCACTCTTTTTCTTTTCACTTCGATCCATTTTCCGTTAACCGTTCTGAGATGACTACTCACTACTTGGAAACCTTCAGTAATTTCCATCTTTCGAGCCCTTCTTGATTTGATTCAACTTATTTTTTCGACTATATTTTGAATACGGACAGCTTGAGCTTTTGATACTTCCTGAAACTCCTGAATGTGCTTTTCGAGTTACCTGGTCTTCGAGTGATCCTAACAAAAATTGAAGAACGATGAAAATTTTCAACAATAAAACATATTGTACATAATTCAAAAATAAAAGAATAAATTGATAAAATACTAATTCACTTTTATATTTTCTTTATCTCACTGATAAAACGTGCAATTTTCTCAAAAATAATAGTTCTCTTTAAAAATAACGTTATCCACTTTTATTTATTTTGTGGGTGCGGGTGATATTATATTTTAGTAAATTAGAATATAAATAAAACTTTGAAATATATAATTACAATTTTTTAGATAAATTTTTGAAATATATAACCAAAATATAAGAAATAAGAATTATTGATAATAATTATTAAATTAAAAAAAAACTGCTGAAATTAAAAATTATAAATAAAATTATCCTGTAGCCCATATAATTACCTCTATCATATATTATTAATTTTTTTATAATTATCTTATAAAACTTTAATATAATATAATTTATATTTATTTATATATGTCTTTTTTATATATTTTATTTCCATTATAAATATTAGTGAGAGAAAAATATCTAGAATAATTATCCACGCTAACAAAAAAATTATTAGTTATTATATTGTTTATGGTAGAATTTGTTTTAAGGATTCTTTTTACTCGGATTAACATAATCAATGTTTCAATTTAGGTATATTAACGTTCTTATGGATTTGAAACACAATGCAAAGAAAAGAGACAGAGTGGAAACTTTCAATAATTGCTTGTCTCTAAATATTCGTTAAGTATTATCAAGCAATAACGTTCATGTATGTAAATACTTAAATGCACAGAATGAACATTACATATATTAGCAATGCAAATCATAGTTCATTTCATACAATAGTCAAATTACATTACACATAAAAGCATATTGATCAAAGTATACGAATACACTACGTGATTAAAAGAAGAACAAGAAAACTATTCTACTTCTACTCCTAAAAAGAGAAAAGAAAAGTGGCCGAGAAATAACCATACCAAAAACGATTCCTTGCACAAAAGCCATATGCGCAGCAGGCAGAGAGTACTTCAGATTCTAGTCTTAATATGAGTTTTCCGACCTCTGTATAGACGCAGGACCTTTGAATTTATAGAGCCAATTACCAACGGTTAACTTCGTGCACGTAGATCATTATCGGATAACCGCTATCCACTATACTTGTACGTGGCTCTAAATTTAACTTCTCATAACCGTTCTTCCACGTGTATTGACTTCTCGACCTGGGCTTGATAACTACCTTAATATGACCATAATCTCGAGCTCATCATTGTTCAATCTCGAAATAATTTTCTTCGATCTCGAACATCTATTATCGGCAGGTGTTGGTTTCCTAATATATTTTTCGAGAAATCTTATATACTATTTCGACCCGTGCGGTTTTTGAGTAGGCCTAACATATATACAATAACTTTTATAATCTTTCATAACTTTTACTTAACATTAATGTACATCAAAATAAAAATTTTCTTTTATATATAGATATAGATTTAACTTATGCTATGCATATCATAAAGTACTGGTTATTTATACGAATCGAGAATGCTTCGGTAGAGGCATTTTGGAACACAACTTGTCTGCAAACTTTATTATCTTGTATTTTAAATATCTTCTAGTTTTCGAGTTTAAAGAATTACTTCCGTTACACCTGTCTTCTTACAAGTTTCGATAATTTTCCGTTTAATACTAATTTTATTTTGACTTTTTATGTGCTTATATATATATA